AAAATCAAATCATCCCCCTGAGGGCACTTTGGTTGTTGGAATGTGGAATTTTTTACAGGTATAAGATACTGCCTTGTTCATAATTTCATATGACTTTTATTTATTTTCAAAGATTTTATTTATTTATTTAGAGAAAGAGAGCAGGAGGAGGGTCAGAGGGAAAGGGAGACACAGAATTTCAAGCAGACTCCATGCTGATGGAGCCTGACATGGGGCTTGACTGCATGACCTTGAGATCACAGCCTGGGCCGAGACCAAGAGTCAGACGCTCAACCAACTGAGCCAACAAGGTGCCTCTGATATGACTTTTAAATTAACCTACAGAGTTGTGTAGGAATAAGAATCATTTGGTGGATGCTCCTCAAGACCTCATTTTTCCATCTCTTTCTCCTGGAAAATGCATCCAAATCTTCATTTGGAGGGGAAGTTCCTTCCTAGGCTTAGCTTCCTAATCTGGAGAGGATGGTATCTACCTCATCTCATAGGGGGCTTGGATTGACTTAGGTTCTTCGGCTCAGCCCACTCTAGGCCACAAGGATTTGTCAGGGTGGGTATGGGACCCAGTTTGGCTGCTGAGATGAGAAGAAATAGCTGTTGGGACTTCGAGGAAAGAAGTTTCCTCTTTCATCCATGGTAACTACTGCAAGAGTAGAGCCTTCTTCCTCTGGAGCATAGAGCATGTGCAGGAGGGGACTGAAAATAGCACTGTCATTTTTTGCTACTATAGGATGAAGCAGCCAGGGGAGGGGGTTAGGAGAAGGGAAATTGAGCCCTAGAGGAGGGTTTGTGACGAGAATGGCAGAGAAATAGAGATGAAGCCATGATATTGTGACCTCTAGATCATATCACACCTGGATATCTCATTTTTACTTAATTTTGATTGAGGTGATGCAGCAGAGATTGTCTTTCTCAACTTTGTATCTGAGAAACTGAGGCTCAGATAGGCTGAAGTACTTCTCAGGCTCCCACAGCTAGAGAGCTGTGTCTAGGGTGGAAATACATGTCCCTTTGCTTCAAGTCTGAGGCTTCTTCAGTGTTTTCAAGGATGCTTTCCCCACACTTGGGTCAGAGCAATATTTTTTCCTCTTTACCCAGGAAAAATAAGCAAACACCCACTCCATAGAAGATTTATGGAGAAAAGGCCAGAGGAATTGAAAAGAACAATAAAGCCATTGTAACAGAAAAAGTTGTACCAAAGCCAATAGAACCAAGAGAATTGGAAATAGCCAATCTTGGGCATTCAGAACAAGCTCTATTAAAAATGTTGACTGATTTATTAGAAACCAGGGAGACCATTTAAAATTTTTATAATTAGTAGGAACCTCAAAATAGTCCTATTAAGATGCCAAAATTTGTGGAGCAAATAAGAAATGTAATAAAAAATAAATTAAAGCATAAAATATTAACTTTAGAATTGACCTTAGACATCATTTCATCCTACCTCCCACCAGTGGAGAACTTCCTTTTACTACACACCTAACAGACGATCATCCTGCCTCTGTTTGAATACCTCCATTGATGAAGATCTTACTATCTCATAAGGCAGACAATTTTGTTTTTAAATTATACTGTAATCTGGTCTAATTAATGAAAAAATTAAAAATATAGATAAGCCCAAAGAGTAATGTTGCAGAATATTTTGTATTATTATTTTAACTTATATTTATTATGGTTTCACTTTCTTTCTCTTTTTTTGCTTCTAAGTATTTCCTGTTATTCTATAAACTTTCCCCTGGTTTGGCAAACAGCTTGAATGTTCTATAGTTCCTGCCTTGGAAGAGGGAAGGCCAAACAGAATGAAGAGAACATCAGACACTTAGGACGTAAGTAATAGAGTCAGGAATATAGATGTAAAGCCAGACCATCCAGGCTTTAGAACAAAACAACAACAACAACAACAACAACAAGAGACTCTCAGGATGGAGACATTCGGACAGTCATAGGAGAAACATGGGGAGTTTGGACATAGTGGGGTGTTGAGAAAGCCCCGGTGAGAGGGGACAGAAGATATTCCAGACAGGTTTGAGGAAGTCAAGAGTTCTCTTTCCTTTTCTGAGGAGAATCTGTGAAAGGGGTAAATATACCAGAGTAGAAACAGATAGTTGTATTGTGTGGGAAAACAGATCTGTCATGTCCCCAGACTTTCCTATAGCACAGCATGATAGTGGGAGGAGGGATGTTTCCCAAACACAGAGAGAGGAAGGGGCACAGAGCTTTTGTCTGTAGGAGGATGTGGATTCCATGGTGCCTGCATGGGCTCATGACATAAAGCCACATACAGATGGCACCATCTCAGTGAGCCAATGGAGACGAATAATGACCAAGAGTCAGGTGCCCCCCTGCATGCCCCCAACATTATGCCATGTAACACCATCCCACAATACTGACCCTTTGTCATTTTTTGGCTTTGAAATCAAACCCCTTTCTGGGATTTTGGTAGAAGCCTTGGGAAGAAGTGTTCCCTCTCTCTACTACCTTCTCTCCCACTAAGAGGGTATGTGACCTGTAGTCACTAATTATATGCTTCTGCCCAGATATCTGACTCTTGAGTGAGTGAAGCAAAGGCAGAAGGATGATGGGACCAACCACAGGATGGCTGTTGTAACTGGTTGTGACCACATCCTGGCCAATTTTTCTTGCTGCCTAGTCTCGCTTGGTTCCTGACAAATTTCCAGACTGGTGAGTTACCCAATGCCTTCCAGTGAATTCCTCTTTTGTGAAAGGTAGTTAGAATCTCTTTCTGCTCCCTGCAGTTTCCTGATACAGGAATTTGTACCAGGAAGTGTGCCACAGTCTCTTCAAGTCAGAAGGCCTTCAGGGGAGAAATCTGGGGTTGATTATAATACCTCAGTGAGGAGTTGATGACTATGATCATTTTTTTTTTTTCTTTAGGATTCAGAGATAGAAACATGGAAGCCCATGGTTCACAGCAACAGAGCAACTTAACTATCATCTACAGTCATTTGTTTGAAGGGCTCATGAAAAGCAGGGTTTCAAGACCCCCAACCACTGTCCTGAGACAGTGTGAAAGACAGAAGGAGTTCAAGGACTGTGGGATGGAGTGGCTGCTCCTACTAGCTCTGGTTAGCTTATTAAAAGAGAGTGATAGATTTAAACCCCAGAATTCTCAATTTAAGGCATATATTAATACCCAGGAACTTATTATGGGGCTGCGCTGAATGGATTTCCACCCTCCAAAAGCCACACAGCTGAGAGACTGGTAAACAAATTTAAGTTGGATTCTGAGGTTTGTAGAATTACATCAGTTAAGTTCTCAGCCTTGTCACACCTCTTAGGAGATAATTTAGGCATGGCAGGGACAAGACTTGAGACGAGGGTATGCGTGATGACCCAGAGATCTCACCAACCCCCCGTGCCACCCAAAACAGGCTAACTCCCTTGACTGTTCCCTCTTTTTACTTTTTGCCTAAAGGTACTATAACTTTCTTACCCTAAAGAGTTACACTGAAATAAAAGTCTATTTTTATGATCTGCATTGTAGCAACCCTCCCTTGTCTTTGGGATCAGACCTAGAAGACCCATGGGGCAGGTGGGTAGTAAAAAGTCAAACCTGAGAGCAGAAGGCAGAGGTAACAAGTAATTTGCAAAACCTTGTTAATTTACACCTTCAAAGATCTAGGGAGTATGTGTGGGAATGAATTCCGTAGGCTCTAGACCAAAGACAAGATGAATATCATTTTAGACCAAGTTAAAGGCATTGATAATAGATGCACTTAGCAGAGACCCCAGATTCTGTCGCAAGTTCGAGCAGCTGGGAGTAGACACCATTGTTTGTTCAGTTGGTTGACAGAAATCTGGACTCAGTGGTGGCCAACATTAAACAGAGTTGAGATGTCATAAATTCCTTGATATCAAGTAAAGGAAAGAATCCAAAGACTCTGAAAGATAGGAATGCTGGAGTGAATTTATCATGTGCAACTTGCCTCTCACTCCCCGACTCTGTCCCCCAGGAGAGTGCAGAGGACATCCTCCTTGCCAAAGTCTTGAGAAATACCTTGAGGAGGGAAACACCAATGTCTTCACCACAGCCGCTGTTATCTAGAGTTGGAGATTGTGAAGGGAGCTGCAGTTGACATGGGGTTTCTGGATTCAGTAGGGATGGGAGGAACCTGGGTCAGCCAAGGACACATGGTACCTTTTCAATGGTAGAGATGAGAGCTGAAGGGGGAATCCTTCCTGTCCCCTCCCTGGGGACACATGGCTTTAATTCAGCCAGTGAGATTTTCCAATCCAGAGCTCTGAATCTTTTATCATGTGTTTCTTTTGCAAATATTTTCTCCCAGTTCATGGTTCACCTTCTCATTCTTTTGACATTGCCTTTTGCAGAGCAGAAGTTTTTAATTTTAATGAAGCCCAGCTTATCAATTATTTCTCTCATGGATCCTGCCTTTGGTGCTGTATTTAAAAAGTCATCATCACCGCGAAGGTCATCTGGATTTTCTCCTATGTTTTCTTCTAGGAATTTTATAGTTTTGCATTTTACATTTAAGTTTATGATTCACTTTGAGTTAATTTTTGTGAAGGTCTGTGTAGAGATTCATCTTTTTTGTGTGTGTAGACGTCCAGTTTTCCAGCAATATTTGTTGAGAAGGCTATCTTTGTTCCCTTGTTTTGCCTTTGTTCCTTTGTCAAAGGTCAGTTGCCTATATTTACATGAGTTTATTTCTGGGCTCTCTGTTCTGTTTCATTTATCTTTTGCCTACTCTTTTGCCAATACCGCACTACCTTGGTCACTGTGGCTTTATAGTTGCGTCTTGAATTCAGGTAGCATCAATCTTCCAACTTTGTTCTTTTTCAAGACTCAGAACCTTGAGCAAGAAAAGCAACAGTCTGGATGATGAGATTGTATTGGAGGACCTAAGGATATAGACCCAACGACTCAACCCTACCTAATTTGACTGTTGATATTTTACAAAGCTCAACAGGAACCAACTCTTATTTCTCCTCCAGTTTCACTCTGCTCCATTCTCCCACTGGGCTCCAACCACACTGGACTTGTTCCAGTTCCTTAAACTTGTCTGATTTTCCTTTCCCCACAGCTTTCACACACGCTGTTTCTTTTGCTTAAAATATTCTTCTTCCAGCCCTGCCCTGGCCAACTTCACTCATCCTTCCGATTTCAGGTAAAATAGCCCTTTCTTATTAGGTCTTTCCTATTACATGCTGTTGTATATTTTCCTCTCTTGCTCTCATCCGAATGTTAATTTTCTTTTAATTTGTATGCATTTTCTGTAATGTCTGTTCACAATCCTTTGGTTTAATACATTTCTGCTTTGTTCTTTGCTGTGTCTGCTGCTGCTAACTTCCAATGGTGGGTCCAACAGGGATGGTGCTCAAAAATTATTTGCTAAATGGATGCTTTACATATGCTGTCTTGATTGTGTTTCCTCACTTGTAAAATGGGAACGTCTCATGTCAATAAATAAAACCTATAAAGTCTTTTTTAAAGGTGCCATAGTGTTCTACAACAGGAATGATGATGATCATAATAATAATGGCTATCTTTATCTGAACATTGTGGTCTATCAGGCCCTATTGCAAGGGCAGAACATATATTAATCATTTAGCTTTCCAAACTGATGAGGTAGACATTTGTATTATTCCTATTTACAAATGTATACACTGAGGCATGGAAAAATTAAGCAGCCTTTCTTAGCATTTTAGAACCAGTATTCTATGCAGTCAGGATTTGAACCCAGGCATTCTGACTCTAGATCTTATGCTCTTAATCTCAATGTTGCATTGCATATAAAATCCTGTTTCATAGGGTGCCTGACTGGCTCAGTTGATAGAGCATTTGACTCTTGATCTTGGGGTCATGAGTTTGAGCCTCATAGTTGGGCATACAGCCTACCTAAAAAAATAATAATATAAAAAATTCTATTTCATTTAACCAATCCCCTTAATGATATACATTTAAATTATTTCTAACTTTAAGTCATTGTAAATGCCAGAATTAATTCCTATTATCTTCATACAATTATCCAATTATATTTGAAAATGTTTGCTAAATTGCTCACCAGATTGAACATTTTTTTCCATCAGCAGCATGAACAGGCTCTTGCTCACATCCTTTGTGCTTTTTAGTATTTATAAGTTTAACAGAAGAAATAGGGCTACCTGATTTAGCAAATAAAAATATAGGGCGCTCAGTTAAATTTGAATCTCAGATAAATAATGAATAAGTTTTTTGTGTACGTCCCATGAAATATTAGGACACATGCTACTTAGTATAAATATGTAGCATGTAACATTTGGGATATACTTATAAAAATTTTTTTGTTGCTTAACTGAGACTCAAAATTAAATTCAAATTCCAATTTAACTAGGAGTCCTATGTCGATCTGAGAGCTGTAAGGAGAAAAGAAGTATTTAATTTAAATTTGTCTGTCTACCTTCAGTAACTAATCAATAACAAAAGTATTTATTACAATAACCAAATTATAGAAGAAACCCAAGTGTGTATGGATAAGAAGATGTGGTACACACACACACAGAATACTACTCAAACATAAAAAAGAATGAAATCTTGCCATTTGCAATGATGTGAGTGGAGCTAGAGAGTATAATGCTAAGTGAAATAAGTCAGACAGAGAAAGGAAAATACCATATGATTTCATTCCCATGCAGAATTTAAGTAACAAAACAAATTACCAAAGGAAGAAAAAGAGAGAGAGAGACAAACCAAGAAACAGACTCATTTTTAACTCAAGGTTGTCAGAGGGGAGGGGGGCGGGGGATGGGTTAAAGAGGGGATGCGGATTAAGGAGGGCACTTGTTTTGATGGGCACCAGGTGATGTATGGAAGTGCTGAGTCTCTTTATTGTACGCCTGAAACTAATAGAACACTGTATGCTAACCATACTGGAATTAAAGTACGATACAACACAATACAAGTATTTACAAAGTAGTAGCTAAGTGCTGGGTGTTTTGACTATAAGAAAGAATACATAGTCCTTGATATCAGCTAGCGCACTGTCTAGTGAGAACACGACACATGGTTAAATCTAATACAAGATCATAAGTACAGTGATGGCGATACACACAGGGGTGTTCATTAGGGACATCTAAGACCAGATGGGGAAGCAGAATTGTTAAAAGACTCCTGAAGGCTTGGCGCCCCCCCCCCCAAGGGATGCTGGGGGATTTCAGGCAGAGAGAGGTGTAGAGTCTAAAGCCAAAGCTGGCAAGTAGCACGAGTGTGTAGGCGACACAGCAGCTAATGTTGCTGTAGCCAAAGGCGTGAGGCAGGGAGTGATGAGGAACGAGCCTGGGGATTTGGGGGTAGGAGGTAAATCGTGAAGGTGGTTCATTGTAAATGCCATGCTGCTAAATGGAACAAGATTTTAAGCAGGACAGACTTATTGCTCAGGCAAGCTTCTCCGTGAACCTTTTCCAGGGACCTTTTCTCCCTGAAGCTTTTCCTTGTGGCTCAGGAGGCTCTCCTCAAGGTTGTTCTGGAAACAGAAACTAATTATGTTGTGTCACAAATGCCTATTCGCTATCTTCCCCATGGGATTTCTTGAGGGCAGGAATCTTTATTTTTCCCCCCTCGGTACCCCCATGTTCCAATTCCACATTGGCTGTGCTGAATCCTAAATAGTTGGTCGAGGGGGTGTTGCATCAGTGACCTCCAGCCAGCCCACATTCTCTTACTGCTAAATCACATCCGGTCTCCAAATGGTCGCTGGTGTTCTCCCTCTACTGCCAGGAGCTTCCCCACCACTTAGAGCCCTGTCCATTCTACTGCCTGGAAAGGAACTTCCTCCCCTAGGTCTTTGTCATGGTCCCCACCCATCTTCCTGAGACAGGACGACTTCTGCTTTAGAAAATGTCTAGCTAGAATGACTTCTGCTCGTGATGTCCTACAACAGTCTCACGTGGCTGACCATGGCCTGCTCACCCCCAGGAAACTCAATTTGGGATATCCTGTGGTCACCCACTTTGCCTTTCTATCACCCCTTATCTTCCTTCCAGAGGTTCGTCCTCTCTGAGAGCATTAGGTTTCAGACGTGTATTTGTCATACCTTTGAACTCGCTCAGGTTCAAGTTAGGGCTTTTGCTGTATGTAGTTTAATCCCAAGAACCATCCTTACTCGCCTGATTCTTAATTTGTGTGTGTGTGTGTTGGGAGGGGGGCTTTTCTAACATTCCCATACGGCAGGGACATACTAGTCCACCTTCAAGGACGCCTGGCGGCTGACCTTGCTGTCACTTTTCTGCAGCAGCAACAGTTGCTCCGGCTTCGCTCCTGGACGAGTCCGAGTCCCCACAGGGCTCCTGAGTGGGCCCTGCCCTCAGTTCCCTGTTTACCCCCTCAAGGCCTCTGGATTGGGACCCTGCCTTGGCCTCTGTGTCTCTCCAGGGTCCCAAGTTCCTATGGGTCAGTTACGGGAGCTCCAGAATCTGAGGAACCAGCCCAGATGGCTTTCATTATGTAATTTCACACGCCCGAGAACCCCAGCATCCCTGTGCTTTCATCTTTGGTGACAGACAAAAGACAAAAACAAAGACAAAGAAATGGCGGGCGTAGAAAAGTTAATTTTTTTTTTTTTAAATTACCCAGCTAGTGAGTGGCCTACCTGGGATTCGAACTCTCGCTCTGTGATTCTAACACCCACATTCTTCCTGTCATGTGGTCTCCCCAGAAGCCTGATGCACGGGCCCCAGGGCAAGCCACTTAGGTTTATGAGTTTCAGCTTCCTCCTCTCCAAAACCGAGTTCATAATAGGTTAATTAGAACTACCTCTCAAGATGGTTGTAGAGATTAAAAGGAATTATGTAAATTAGGCACCCTGCCCAGGGCCTGACAACAGCCAACCAAGAACGATCTCCTCCCTTCCTTGCTGTGTCCATCTGGGTGGACTTTTCCCATTGTCTTAGCAAGGGAGCTGCTCCGAGGAAGTACCAGTCGTGTCAGCCAAGAAGGCCTGGGAGGAGCTGCTTTCCAGAAGCCCAGGTGCCTGAAGGAAGGCTCTTCCCCAAGCTGACCAAACAAAATGGGCGGAGTCATCCCGATGGACGCCCAGAGGCTCACGCCCCCTCACAGGTAAGGAGGCAGGACAGGCCGGAACCCCCCCGCCCCCGCCGGCCCCCAGCACCGGGGAGGCCAGGTCTGCACCGACCTGGGGCATCCCAGAAAGATGAGGCTGCTGATGGGTTCAGCAGGGATTTGGGGGAAATGCTCTTTTGCACAAAGCTACTTTTTGGTATTTCTTATCTCCCCGCCCCATCTGAGCATGCCCACAGCCCGGCTCTGAGTTAGGAGCACATAAATCTCCATCACAAATTTATTGCCATCATTTATCAGCTCCTATTGCTCAATGGCCAAGCAGTTAATTTTAAAATGAAGTGGGGCTGTTTTCATTAATACCCTCGCGCTAACTACCTATCAAAACACTCAAAGACAATTAATACCATGTTGCTGAAGTACTGAACCAATAAATATCTCCAGTCTTGGCTTGTCTCTGGCAGATAAAAGACATTAGACTCATCCCCTATTTCAATAATATTCTTCCATTCTCTTTCCCTCCATAGCATCCGAAACATTTACATTGAAGAGCGAGATTAAATCGCCAGACCAGCCCATAACATGCATTTAAAAGGCTGTTTTTTCATGACATCTCAGTAATGCCTTCAGGATAGAGTGGTAATGACAACGTGCCTGAAAAGAAGATGGTACATTTCTGAGGAAGCTACATCATCAATACCAAAGCCTTTTGGCCTCAGAGGCTTTCTGGAAAGCAAATGCCTCGCCTTGGATGGGGGCAGGAATCCAGTTTGATCAGCAGTCTGAGCAGTGGGTGGGAATTGGAATCCACATTCTCACAGTCTCACAGCCTTGACAGACAGAATATTCTAGATGTTGACAACTCTGAAGCCACATCAGGGATGGATGGCATGTTATTTACTAAGGCATGAGTTTACCTCTCATATGGAGGGCTGGCCTGACGGTGATTTTCTAGCAACCTTTTCCGCCCCTAGCACCGTATTCAGTCATTCTTCCTTAGCATATATTTGTGGGCCTACTGTCTGCAAAATGCTGCCCTAGGCCCCAGGGATGCTGCGTGGGCATCTCGGTCTGCAGGACACACGTTCCCATCTTCATTATTATTTGCCATGAGCCAGCATCATTTATACAACAACTCTTCAGTAATTAAAAAAAAAAATTGGTGTCTTTGTAGAAATAGCCCTGGAAAAGAAATCTGGGTGTTGCCTTAAAAAAAAAATGTTATTGCCCCCCCACCCCATATTGCTTAAATAATGTGTTCACTGTGGAAAAGTTAGAAACTAGAGGTGAGCGGGAAGAAAATAATTAGCTCCCTAAATCCTACCATACAGAGATAACTACAGCTAACCTTTGCTTCCCACACACATGAGCTCTCTTTCTTCTTTTTGTATATCTACTGCCTTTTTAAAAGCATATTTATTCTTTGTGTAATTTCCTGCCCCTCATCTCCTTCTATAGAAGGCTATACTGTCCCATCATTCCATCTTAATAGGCATATTTGTATAGCTAATGGCTGCTGACACTCTCTGGGTCCTACTACCCTGTGTATTATATAAAAAAAAAAGAATATATACTAGCTTGTTTAAATGTTCCTCCCTGTCTGAATGTTGAGGTGGTTTTCTGCACCTTTAAAGTCGTAAACAACACATAAACAACTTGATTAGTCCTTATTACTAGATCTTGGTGCACACCTCTAATTATTTCCTTGGGATCAACTCACTGAATTTCTAGGTCAATTTGTAGGCACATTTTTAAACCCTTTGCTTTACATGGCCAGACTGCCCTCAAAATGTTTCCAGTTTATGTTCCCAGATACGCTTGTCCTCTGCCGGGTGAGGACTTCCAGCTTCTCACAATCAAATTATAGAGAAACAGACTGCGCCTGCTCCTCCCTAATCCCTTTGAACATTTAGAGTGGCAGGAGTCTCCCTTCTCCTGCCAACAGCCAAGCACCCCACCCCCCGCCCCCGCCACTGTATGTGATGGGGGCTCTGCAACTCACCTGTCCCTCCCTTGGCCTCAGGGCTTTACTTCTGGCAGTTGTACTCTCTTTGCCTGTGAGCTCTTTCCACAACACTTAAAAATACTGTTTCTTGGGGTGCCTGGGTGGCTCAGTGAGTTAAAGCCTCCGCCTTCGGCTCAGGTCATGATCCCGGGGTCCTGGGATCGAGCCTCTCAGCTCAGCAGGGAGCCTCCTTCCCTTCCTCTCTCTCTGCCTGCCTCTCTGCCTACTTGTGATCTCTGTCAAATAAATAAATAAAATATTTTAAAAAAATACTGTTTCTTGGGTGCCTGGGTAGCCCAGTCGGTTAGCATCTGCCTTCAGCTTAGGTCATGATCATGGGGTCCCGGGATTGAGTCTTGCATCTGACTCCCTACTTCTCCCTCTGTCACTGCCCCACTCGTGGTCTCTCCCCCTCACCTCTCTCTGTCAAATAAATAAATAAAATCTTAAAAAAAAATACTGTCCTTTTTTTTTTCTTTAAAAGAAAAAATGTGCTTGACCTCTGGTATGGGCTGAATTGTGTACACCCCTCAGATTCCTATGTTGAAGCCCTAACCCCCAGTACCTCAGAATGTGCCTATATTTGGAGATAAGACCTTTAAAGAAGTGATTTAATTGTCATGAAGCATTTAAGGTAGACCACGACCCACTCTGTCCGGTGCCCTTCTAGAAGAAGAGGAACTTTGGACACACAATGAGGTGTGTGGGCACTTAGGAAAGACCGTGTGAGGACACGGTGAGAAGGTAGCTCTCTGCAAGTCCAAGGGAGAGGCCTCCAAAAACACCACAACTGCTGACCCTGGATCTCAGACTTCTAGCCTATAGAACTATGAGAAAACGAATTTCTGTTATTTAAGCCCCACAGCCTGTGGTGTCCTGTTACCCCAGCAAACCAATACAACCTCAGTATAGAAAACCTTTCCTACAGCTGCCCTTATAAAAGCAAATTCCTGAGCAAATTTGCTCTTACCCTTTATTCTCTTGTCCCTTCTCACAATGCAGCCCACTACCATCTGGCTTCTGCCCCCAATTTGAGAGACAGCTCCTACCAAAGTTATACACAACCTCCACATTACTGACCCAATGAACACCATGCCTGGCACATATAGACACTGAATTCCCCTCGTAGGAGTTGCTGTTATAAGTGTCTTGATAAGGGGAAAAGTCTACTCTAAGATGGCTGACCAAACCAGCAAGCGAATTCCAGTCCCTGTCTCAAAGCCCTTCTGGGTTCTTCTTTCCTACCCTGTTTCCCACGTGTGCCAAAAGTACCAAGGATGAGGAAGTAGAAGGATATAAATTACCCTCCCTGCTCATGCTCAGGCTCAGACCTTTGGAGAATGGTCTCCTCTGAGCCCACCGGTGTTACATAAACCTCCGATCCTCCAAAGTCTCCGCGTGCCACTTGGTTCTTCCATCAGGACCCAGTTCAGGTTCTGTAACAGTCTGAGTAAGAGGTGGCATCTCAGTCTGCCAAATTAGAGTACGGGATAATAAATATGTCCATATTATTTCTTTACAGAATGTGCATTGGCCGTTCCCCCTGCCCAGCCCTAAAGGAACCAGAAGCAGCAGGAAAAGGGTCGGACAAAGGACCTTTTAACGCCTGAAAAGGATCTGTAAGTATGGAGAACATGTTCATAACAGAAAAGCTGTGGCATGTTTCCAAAATATCGCAGGGGCAGGGAAGGGAGATTCAACAGAATATGTCTGAAGCGAGTCGTTGGCCAAAAGTAAGCCATTTTCTTTTTGAACCTCATTCATTTCTGACTGTTCCATTACAAAATGAATCTATACACATACACATACACATACACATATTAGAAGGACTGCTGTTTTCATTTAATACTCCATCGTGAATATTTCTTACGGTATTAAATATTCTACATCAAAAGAAATATGCACTGGTAATTTTCAAAATATGGATAGAAGAGGCATAGGGTCATAGACTTCTTTGGAAAATAGAGCAGGCATACACATTCTAGAATTTGGAAGATACAGTGCACTCTGGGTCACTTTACTCCGGGGTTCTTTTCGCTTACTTGTTTGTTTTTCTATGCAGAAGTTGTCTGCCTGCTACAGTAGGGCCTCAAGCTCTATTTGAGTTATTGAAAAGGCGCAAACTCACTGATCTTTCTGATTCTCCTTTCAATTTCTAAGAGTCGGGCTTGGAAGATTTTCTGATGGTGCTTTGGCCTCCATGCAAATGAAAAGTAAGTAGATAATCAAGAAGCAGCCTTTGGAAGGTGAGCCTGGTGTGTGCCCCTCCCTCCCCACTCCACCACTCCCCACCCCACCCCCGCCGCCCCCCACCCTGCCTGCTCCCAGATGTCCAGGTGTGCGTCTAAGTGCTCCTCAGGATGACTTGGCAATGATACCAAATGCCATTCAGAAGGGAGGGTAAGCCAGGCAATAGCTCTTGTAGCGAGCACCTGGCACGGGGAAGGGCTCTGCTTGCCGTGATGTTTCTTTCATCAGTCAGCGGTTGTTTGCTTCTGGAAAGAGAGCTGTTAAGCCATCTTTCACAGACTGGGAGAGAGGTGGCCCAAAGCATTTGAAAGCCCAGATTTACAGACTCATGGTGCAGAGACTCCCTGATTTGCTCCAGGAGAGAAGATGCAGCAGCTCCGATGAGAAAAGAGGCAGGATTTTGGGTCCTCCCTTAGGGCTCGCTGGGATTGTTGATCTCACACCTTCCATGGGCACACAGGGCCAGAGTTCTGGAGGCTGGGGTGGTAGGAGGTGGAGGGACTGTCCTAACCATCCATTGCTCCAGCTGTACCTCCTGGGAACCAGACCCTGGAAGCAAGAGGGCTGTCTTGGACCCTGGTGATACCAACCTCCTCTTCTCTGAAGCTGCCTCCAAGTTCCTTGTATCCCTCCTTCCTCAGAGGCCCCCCAGCTGGCTCTTGCAAGGGCCTGTCTCTCCCTTAGCATATCTGGCCCGATTTCCTAGGTTCACCTGCTTTTCCACCAGTCCTAGAGCCTGATGCCACCCCTGGCTTCCCGCCCTTTGCCACAGTCACCAATTGTTTGATAGCTTGTTTGTGGATTTTTTTTTTTTTCCCTGAGGATACAGAAATATTTCCTGCCCTGAGTTTAGACGGAAAGACGATCTAGATGTTGAAAATGCATTATTAATGGGGAGAGTGCTACAGTGGAGGGAGACACAGCGTGCTGCGGGGTTCATGCCTCTGTAGACAGTCTTTAAAACCCAATCAACAAGCCAGATTCCCCAGTTTCTGTCTCTAGGTTACTTTGTTTCCCCTGCGTTTCCCATATTTCACAACAAACTGCCTCCTAGACTTCAGTGTCTTACATGCATCTGTGGTTTAAAATTGAGTTCCTAATCTCCTGCAAACCCTAAACTAGCATGAGCAGTAACACCCAAGCCCTTGAACTTGTATGGGCATGAAGGTCCCCCATCTCCACCTGCCGGGCTGCCTCAGATTTGTTAGATGCTACTACTATGTTCTCAGTTTCTGCTGTTTCTAGTAACAGGAGGATTTCTCTTTCTTCCTTGCAAGCTTAGCCCCGCAATTACCTTTTAAAAATTTCATATTGACCAGTATCTCTCGTTGTAAAAGATGTATGAATTTTAAGGTAGCATCCTCTGTCTTGAAGGTCTTCATTATAATATTTTTTAACTTATGAAATATAACACAAATACAGATAAGTGCACAAAATAAAAATCTGTAGCTCAATGATTTATCCCAACCAAACCTCCTTTATTCTGTTGATAAAGTAAATTACTTTGATTTTGAGATGCTAAGTTAACCTTGCATTACGGGAATAAAACCAGACCAGTTGTACTGTATATCTTTTTACTTTCAAGCTGGATTCTGTGTTAAGGTTTTGTTTAAAGTTTTTGCATCTTTGTTCATGTGTGAAAATCACCTGTAACTTTTTTTCTTCCATAATATCCTTGTCAGGTTTGTGATCACTGTGAAATAGTTAGATGGGTTTCTCTTTTTCTATTTTCTAAAAGAGTTATGAACTATTAGCATCCTTTCTTCCTTATATGTTTAACAGAAATCACTGTTGGAGACATTAGGGCCAGGAGTTTTCTTGGGAAGGTTTTTAATATCTTTCATTTTGATAGGACGGTACAGATTTCAATTTCTTCTAATGATAGGATTTTTAAGGAATTTGTCCAGTATCCATTTGGCTAATATATTCTAGTTCATTGGGATAAAACAATTCAATGAATTTATCTTATTTTTTTTTAAGATTTTATTTATTTGAGAGAGAGACAATGAGAGATAGCATGAGAGGGGAGAAGGTCAGAGGGAGAAGCAGACTCCCCATGGAGCTGGGAGCCCGAGGCGGGACTTGATCCCGGGACTCCAGGATCATGACCTGAGCCAAAGGCAGTTACTTAACCAACTGAGCCACCCAGGAGCCCCCTCTTATTATATTATTTTTGAATGATTATTTTATAGTCGTACTCCTTTTTCATCCCTGACATTGGTTAGACGTATATCTAAGCTCCCCTTTTATGGGTCATTCTCTTCATAGTATTCAATTTTAATGTTCGTTTCAAAGTGCCAATTTACGGCTGTGTTGACTTCTATTGCATGTTTGCTTTGTCTTTCATGATTTTTCTTTCTGTTTATCTTTCCCTTCTTTCTACTTTCTTTGGGCATAATTTAGCGGTTTAAAACTAATTATTGAGTTGGATCCTTAGTCCACTGATTTCGTCCTTTTTTATTTGCTAACATACATATTCAAAGCTCACATATGTTATGTGAATATGGGCTAGCTAAATCCCTTAAGTTTTTTAAAATTTATTTTCAATTTACATATAGTAAAATTAACTGTTCTTTGTTGATGAAATGCTTGTTCAAATCTTTTGCCTATTTTTTTAAAAGATTTTTATTTATTTATTTGACAGAGATCACAAGAAGGCAGAGAGACAGGCGGAGAGAGGAGGAAGCAGGCTCCCCGCTGAGCAGAGAGCCCGATGTGGGGCTCGATCCCAGGACCCTGAGATCATGACCCGAGCCTAAGGCAGAGGCTTTAACCCACTGAGCCACCCAGGCGCCCCATTATTGTTGATTTTTGAAAGTTGTTTATGTATTTTGGTCATAAGTTCCTTGTCAGATATATGCTTTAAAAATATATTCCCCGGGGTGCCTGGGTGGCTCAGTGGGTTAAAGCCTCTGCCTTCGGCTCAGGTCATGATCTCAGGGTCCTGGGATCGAGCCCGCAACCGGCTCTCTGCTCAGCAGGGGAGCCTGCCTCCCCCTCTCTCTCTGCCTGCTTCTCTGCCTATGTGTGATCTCTCTGTGTCAAATAAATAAATAAAATCTTAAAATATATATATATATATATATATACTCCGCCCCCTCCCCGCTTCCCCCCACACCAGGCCTTCTGGGTGGCTCAGTTGGTTGAGCATCTGACTCTTGATTTTGGCTCAGGTCACGATCATGGACGGGCTCCACACTTAGCAGGGAGTCTGCTTGAGATTCTCTCCATCTCCCTCTTCCCCACTGCCCATGCTCACTCTCTCTCTGTGTGTACAATAAATTAAAAAGATATAAAAAAGATTAATAAATAAAAAATATATTTTTCCCAGTCTGTGGCTTTACTTTTCCTTCTCTTAACAGTGTCTTTGGATAAGCAAAATATTTTAATTTTAATTTTAATGAAGATGAATATATTTTTTTCCATGGATCATGTTTTTGCTGCTGTATTTTAGAACTCTCCACAAAACTCAAGGTTGCAAAGAGTTTCTAGTATATCTTATTCTGAATTTTTATAAATTTAGGTTGTACATTTAGTTTTATTTCATTTTGACTTAAATTTTGTACAAAGTGTAAAGTAGACATTAAGGTTTTTCTCCTCCTTCTCATTTTTTGCATGTGGATATTCAGTCTTCTAGCATCATGTGTGGAAAGACTATACTTTCTTCACTGAGTTGCTTCTGCACCATTGTCAAAAATCAGCTCACTGTATTTGTGTGAATCTATTTCTAGACTGTGTTCTGTTCCATTGATCTCTGTATCTATTCTTTTGCCAATACTGTGCTGTCTTTTTTCCTGTAGCTTCATAGCCTTGAAATCACATAGTGTGAAACCTTCTATTTGTCTCCCTTTCAAAATTGTTTTACCTTTTCTAGCCAGATTGCCTTTCCATGAAAAAATCTGAAATCAGTTTGTTGCTATCTATGAAATCTTGTGCTGGGATTTTTGTTGAGATCAAATTGACTCTATAGATCAATATGAAGACATTTAATATTTTAACAACATTGAGTCTTTCCATCCAACAGCATGCTGTCTCTCTGCATTTAGATTTTATCTGATCTCTTCAGTGTTTTTTAGTTTTCAGCATAGAGACTCTGAACATATTTGATTAGATTTATATTTAAGTTTTTTGGGGGAATTACTATAGTAAATGGTACTTTAAAAACTGAATTCTGATTGTTCATTACTATTCCATAGAAATATACTTGATTTTTGTATATTGATCATATATCCTGTGAACCTGCTTTTATGGACCGAATGTTTGTCCCCCCCCCCAGCCCCCACTCCAGTTTATATGTTGAAACCCTAATTCCCGATGTGATGGTGTTTGGAGATGGGGTGTTTGGGCAGTGATTAGGGTTAAATGAGGTCATGAGATTGGGGCTATCATGATGGGATTGGTGTTCTGATAACAATAAAAGACACCAGGGATCTTCTTCTCTCTCTCTCTCTCAAGGCTGCACAAAGAAGAGGTCATGTGTGCACATAGAGAGAAGGTGGCTGCCTACAAGCCAAGATGAGAGACCTCAGAATGAAACTGACCTTGCTGGTACCTTGATCATGGACTTCTTAGCCTCTAGAACTGTGAGAAATAAATTTCTGTTATTTCAGCCACGTAGTCTATGGTATTTTGTTATAACAGATTTATATTTATAACAAATTTGTGGTAGGCAATTTTTTGGTGGATTCTCTGGATTTACCTCATAGACAATCATGCAGCCTGTGAATATAGTTTTTTTTCTTCTTTTTAACATCAGTAACAATGATATGCTGAGCCATACTGAAGCCTGAAGCAAAAAGAAAAATCAGGAATACTAACTCTGTCTTCATTAAACAAGTTGATATTTTGTTCATTGTGACTATTTTTACATTCATTTTTATTTAAAATGTATTTGCACTGAAGTATTACTTATCTTCATGACTTAATGTTTTGGCCTCTCCAGTTTTGCACCTTAGTTAGTACCCTAGCTCGCCATGCCTGCCCCCGGCCCTTGGTGTGCTCTGTTTCAACGGGGAGCCAGAGTTCAGGGGTCTGTTTGTCAGACGGGCAGAGTAAGGAGATGGGGCCGTACTCACATTAGGAATCTTTTACCCGCACACACTGGTGTCCAGCTGTGACCTTTTCTCCTCTCTTTAGCTGATGGGGACCATGAGCAACGAGGCTTTACTAGGAAAGAACAAGTGCATGGCAGAGCTCCCGCTCCCACCTGAGCCACACAGACCACCACCTCCCGTGCGATGTGGGCAGTGTTTGTGTCAGGTCAATAAAATAACACTGGTAAGTGACTGGCACATCGTTCTCAATTTTGATAATAATTGTTGCTATTATCTTTGTTATTTTTACAGGACAGTTCAATCACATACAATCTGTGGTTTGTCCTTGCTGCTACAGGAAAGTCGAAACAAGGAGAAGTTTGGGGGTTTTTTCTTCTCCCATCCTGCCAAGTTAGTCAGCCTCTGTGTTCAGGGTTGGGGCTCCCTAGACTCATGCTTCCTAGTAGCTGGAAGGTTCTGCGATGTCCCAGACCTCATTCAGGTGTGTACAAAATGTTAACTTATTTCGGATTCTTAACTTCCAAGCTGTCTTTCATCAGGCAACTCAATTTAAGCACCTTTGGGTAAATTCAGGCCAGCCAGTGATTTGTGTCACATTTACAATTATTAGATTCATGTCCAGTTTAAAACCATTTCTGGGGGATACCTGAGTGGCTCAGTCAGGTAAGCCTCTGCCTTTGGCTCAGGTCATGATCCTGGAGACCCAGAATCAAGCCCTGCCTCAGACTATCAGACTCCCTGCTCAGTGGGGAGTCTGCTTCTCCCTCTCCGCTCGTACCCTCTCTCAAATAAAATAAATAATGAAATATTAAAAAAAAAAAAAGCCACCAAACTAAACCACTTCTTGTTTCTTCTCTCCCCTGCTCTGGAGTCTGTTCCAATGCCAGGGGGCACTGGGGCCACTACAGTGGGGCAAAATGGGTAAAGGGGGACAAGTTCCGGTCTCTCCTGTGTCTTGTTCTTACATTGCCAGAGATGCAGCTGTCCCCATGGTCTCACCTCCCATCATAGATACTGCCTAGGGATTGCTCTGTTCAGGGGCACCTCTGGTTCCTGGGAAGCCCCTGCATGAGTGAGTCCCATGGAGGACACCTTTTCCTCCCTCACGCCCATGACCCATTCATGGGCATCTCTGTTGTGCCTCCTTTTTGGCCCAGGAGGCGGTTTCTTGTAGATGGCACAGGAGGACTACTGTCCCTGTGTCTGTGTCTCCTGCAGGGCAGCCTGGGGGTGCCACTTTCAAAAAATTTCGCTCCCCCTTCCCTTAGGACTTTCTTGTGTTTATTTTCCTTCTCCCCCCTCCCCAAAAGCCTCTCCCCCGCCCTTTCAGGACAAAGGGGGACAAACTCTCATCACCACTACTCTCTCTTCTAACGTGGTTTCTGCCTCTCCCTTCCCAGAGCCCATTGACTATTTCTTCCTGGGACACGGGAGGAAGATAGTTCAGTCTCTTCAAAAGTCTATACATATTAGTTAAGTCAGACAATAGGGATGGTGCTCTTTGAGCTTTGAGGTCTTGGCTTTGGTAATGGGCCCTGTTCAGAGCAATCAGTTCACTTCCAGCATAATCCATGGATGTTTCTTTGGGGGCTGGGGAAAATGACAAGAAATGATTGGCCCCAAGGGACAAGATGGGAGCTTGTCATTGATACTTCCGTGGGATCTCTTTGTTTTTTTTTTTTTTTTTTTTTTTTTTTAAGATTTTTATTTATTTATTCAACAGACAGAGATCACAAGTAGGCAGAGAGGCGGGCAGAGAGAGGGGAGAAGCAGGCTCCTCGCTGGGCAGAGAGCCTGACACGGGGCTCGATCGCAGGACCCTGAGATCATGACCTGAGCAGAAGGCAGAGGCTTAACCCACTGAGCCACCCAGGTGCCCCACATGGGATCTCTTTGGATGCACGGGTTATTTTATTATCTTCAATTCCAATGAGATAATAGTTGCAAATTAAGCCCATAGCACAGTGCTTGGCATTTGGTCTTCACAAACGCAGGTTAATTTATAGAAATAATAATTTGAAGTTTTCTCTCGTTATTACATCAGATCTGGAAATAAGGGAGATATTTTAGATTCGCTCATTCCAAGAAGCTAGCAGAGCCTCCATGATCTGAGCTCCCTTCCCTCAGAGAGTCATCACTATCTTTTGTGCTTTAAGGCCAAGTAACAACTTGGTAGGGATCCAGGAAAAAGCCCTCCACTCAACTAATTATTGGGAATCCACTTTCAGTAAGAATGCAGTAAGGCAGGAAGGTGAGGAGGTAGAAGGGCCAAGGTAACCTTTTGTTCTATTACACTTGGGTGTTTTGCACAGAACTGTAAGATGGGGGAAGTTCTACCTGTGGTGCAGAGGGGCCTGGACTCTATGCATCACAGCTCCAAAGCCTAAGCCAAGAGCCCCAGGACCAGGTTGGTCTGGAAGCAATGGAGATGCCTGCTTTCTGAAGGGACTTAATGGATATTAACTGGGCTTGGCCAGTTAATATCTCAGTAGAAGTGAGCCAGATATAACAAAGAACAGGGGACTCATTCTTGGTTTTTTTGGACTGAGTGAGCTGTGTCATTAGATGGGAGGGAGAGGGAATGAAGACCCTAATGATGTCCTTCCCCCAGACAGAGCCTGACTCAGTGACACCACTTTATGCTCCATTTCTCATAGCCCTTAAAATCCAGTGGTCAACACTTTATGGTCTTCCTTTGTTTATCAAAAACTTTTCTCACCTTTGCGAAACCCCTACTTCACAAATGAGAGGTGCTGAGGTTCAAAGGTGAGATGGTTAAGATGAGTCCGCCTCTGAGGCAATCAGAGGAGAGACTCAACCCCAGACCTGCTGAGCCTGCTAGCAATGCACTCCCCCTCGTCTCTGAACTGGATCCAGATCCTGTGTGTTTTCCATCCCAGGAGAACACAAGGCTGGGTCGCTCAAGGGACAGCGGGCCACAGAATGTGACTCTCTGACTCCCTCTTGCTGTGCATTGGCAAACACCCAGCTTTCTGTGCCATTTGACTGAGGATTCACCCTGACTTAACTTCTACAGCTCGTGAGGATTAGGACTCCATTCAGCCTTGTAGTGGTGCTGCATGTCCTCAGGAGACCAGCTCCCCACTCCGCCCGCTGTAGACCCCAGCTACCCGGAAATGGTGCTCAGGGTAACCAATGGCTTCCTTGATGGTTCCTGTATTAACTGCCCACTCTGAAGAACAAGTCTTGTTAAAGAAGAATTTAGCATACTCAAGGGGGGGCTAAAATGGTTCAGAGCTCTCTTTCACTATTTTGAAAAAAGTTAAGGGCTGTGAGACACCCACAAGTCCCAAGTAAGAGCACTATTGGGGTGTAACCATTCCACAGTATTTGTTGCTGGCACTTGTCTTTGTCTAAATTGATTTGACTCCGGTTTTAGGGCTCAGAGATGAATGCTTGTGGTTCATGCTCACTATCTGGGTGATTTTAATCTTTCTGGGGCTTATCATTTCATCACTTATTAAATGGGACTAATCACACCTATCTTGCTGGGTCACTGGGAGAATGGAATGATGACATGGGATGACAAAAGTCAAGCACCCACTTCCGCGTTGACGTTACGGTTTCACGGCTGGGCATCTAATTGAAGTAGGAATAAGTAAGGACCAATATAGCCAGCATTTATGTCTTCGTGGGTTCAGTTCAGTTAGTAAAATTTATTTTTAAACCATGGTCTTTGGGCTTTGAGGTTTATCAGATCCTGGGGTGTGTTGCTGATCCAGGTTCCCAGCTGGCCCAGTTCAAGTGCAGGGAAAGCCCAGCTGGGTGGAGACTGACAGAGGGAAGCAGTAGAGGCCTGAAGGCTAACAGTGGATTTCTGTTTACAAAGCAGCTGCTCCGTCAGAGCCCATAACTACCAGCAACTCAGCACCCTCCAGAATTCAGGGTCAGGATAACAGGCAGGGAAAAATGGCCAAGTGGATAAGTATATCAAAGGAGATGAAGAATTCCCTGTCACTCCTGTCAGGAACCCTGTCAGTGGTCTTTCAGCAGACGCTGGGACTCCATCTTCCCTCCCCTCCCTTGACAAAACTTTTAGAACTCATCCTTGTAAAAGTTTGTTATGGCGAAGTGTTTTCCTAGAACATCTAGGTTGATGACCTGAGACTTGCATGGGCAGATGATCTGCTTTCATTGATCTGCACTTTGGAACTAGAGGAGGGTAAAGACAATTTAATGCCTATTTTCAAAGAATGAAGGATCTTTTGTTCAGTTCTTGCTGGGGAGCAGACAAAGGAAATAGGCTTCACCTGTAACAGGAGGGGTTCGTGTTAGACAGGAGAGAGATTTATCAGGCTGGGAGTATGAAGACAATAAAATGAGTTATGGTATCTCCTTACCTGGAGATCTTCAAAGTAAGATATACTTCCCTCTGACAGGAGCAGTCAGGGGTGGTGGTAGGGAGGTGGGATTCCTAGCTAGAGGCAGGGAAATGGACTTCAGCGACCTTTGAAGGTTGAGTCTAGCCATCTGAATCTAGGATAAACTAAGATGGGAAAATTTATGGTTTTGACATCCATCAGGTGAATAAATCTGAGGCTCTGCTGGAATTTGAGGAAAAAGAAGATTCCAGAAGCCTGCGCTGGCGTGACCACTCTATCAGTCAGGGGTCCAGTGGGAAACAGATGGTACATTCAACTTGAAATTATTTGAGAGGGGTTTAGTAAAGAGGCTATTTACAAAGGTGTGGGTAAGATGTAGAGAAATGACAAAGGACAGAGCAGTAACCCAAAGCTCTTACTATACTTATGCCTAAAGGGGTTAAGGGAGGGAGCTCTTAATCAGAACACAGAAGGAGAAATTAAGGTCTCGAGAGCCATGTTGAGAGGGACTGTGACCTTCTGTTGAGGAACATCACCAGTCAGAGAGGACCTGGGGAGGGAGCCAGGGAAGTAAATACCCTGCCATCACTTCTTCCCCATAATCTACTGCCACGGCTTCTGATGGGCTGATTCCAGCTGAAAACCCCAGGCCAAGGAAGCCCGTTGACATGGTCCACACAGGTCAGCCTCCTGAGCACATAACATTTTCGAGAAGGTGGGGGAGAGTAGATCTGGAAGGGCAAATTAAAGCTGACACAACTGTGGCTCATCCTCTCACAGTACGAAGTGACTTTCAGGTGCCTAGCACTATTCCAGGCACTGGGAAGAGGACAGTGAATCAGACTTACATTCAGACGAATTGTGATTTAGAAATGTATCTACCCCTTACGCCCCTGACTGTTAGGGCCCCGCACAGGTAGTTATTAATATGAGTAAGGAAAATTACTGAAACTCCCTGTGCCTCAATATCTTCATCTGCAAAATGGAAATAACAACTACTTCTCTTTGGGGTTGGATTATATGTGCTCATGCCTATAAAGCACTTAGAATAATGTGTGTTGTGAAGGGCTCACTCAGTACCTGCTAGCTGTTATTATTACTATCGTGACTATTGATATTTGTGTCTTCTCGCCAGTCTCTAGAACTCTTCCTCATCCTTGAAGTCCTAGATGGTGCATCTCCTCCCCGTGGCTCTCTCTCCCTTGGGTGTAGTTGGTTCCCAGATTATCTGGCCCATGATGTCTTCCTGGTTTTTACAAAGCCATGGGGGCAATGATTTGGTTTGCATGTCTGTTTTCCCTGCTAGATGCTATACTCTTCTGGAATGATCTCAGATCCATCTCCTTTGCCAGCCCCAAGTTCTGGCACATGGGAGGTACTCAATAATGTTGGTCTGGTTTGTTTTGAATGAGATTTTATATTTCCGTGGAGAGGAATGTGGCTCAGGGCAGTGTTTAGGGTCCATGAAAGTGGATGTGGAAGTAGCAGATGAGCTAGATGAAGTGATCTTATGGCCCCCACAGTTGCTCCATAGAGCTTGATGGGGAAGCTCTTTTTCCTTGCCCTGGACTTTCTTTTGCCCCCCAAAGCCACGTATTCATAAGGGAAGAGGATGCCTATTGAATAAGGAGGCAAGAGCAGAAAGAGTTTTATCTGATCAGAAGACTTTTTACTGACCAGAATTATTCATCTTGCTCTCCTTTAAGGTGGAAGCTGGCTTTCCTTTCGTGTGTGTTTTTGTTTTGTTTTGTTTGTTTGTTGTTGTTGTTGTTGTTGTCTGCAGTAGGTAGGAAAGGAGATAGTATTCTTCATCATTTGGGTAGACACTCTCTTGACCCCATGGTTCCTGGAAGCGAAAAAAGCCAGCTAGGGGTGGAGTTGGTGAACAGTTCCCAGAACCTTTTCCACTTCGGTTCTGTTATTTTGCTTCCAGCTTCCAGAGTCAGGGCACAAACACAAGGTGAATTCCTTGGTCCTTCCTATGACAGTGTGTGAGGGCAGTTTTGGGATTATATGCCATGGGTCAACTCCCAAGGTCAGGAATATGGTTCCAGTTTAATGGCAGAACAGGACTTATGTATGCCACAGGGATGCAATCCACAAAACTGAGCCTGAATAACTCTTTAGGACATAGAACCCAGTTTCTTCAGCAAATAATTGCAAGGAAAATAAAAGAGAAGGAAGGGGACCCTATAGATTTAAAGGCTTAAGATACATAAAGATCAGTTAGTGTATGAACTTTATTTGGATTCTTAGTTGGAAAGCTATTAAAAAAATCATATGATGGTTGGGAATACTTGAACATTGATTGGTTATTTGGTGATATTCAGGAATTACTGTTAATATTTTGGGGTATGAAATAGTACTTTGAATATGTTTAATAAGTCTTTGTCTTTTAGAGATGTATTCTGAAAAGTCACGGATGAAGTATAGGATGCCTGAGATTTGCTTCAAAACAATCGGGATGGCCAGGAAGTGGATGGGGTACAGTGGGCATAGGGGTTAATTGTAAGTGATGAGTAAGAGGTGTAATGGGAATTCATTAATCAATTCTATTCTGTACATACATGGTATTTTTCCATAATAAAAAAATTTTATACATGACAGTATAAATAAGTGTACTTTTTGTTTTACTAGGGCTCCCTCTAATGAACTTGAAATCCAAACTGAGTGTGATAGATGGAAAGCAAACGTAGAATATAGGCTTAGGTGTTTCAGAGAGGAATAGAAGCTAGTTCATTCCTCTGAGGTCAAGGGAAGCCCTGTGTCTCCCTAAACGTCAACAAGACTGCTCTAATGTAGCCATGTTCTTTTACCAAAGAGCCAGAACTGGAGAGGTTAAAATGATGACTAGTACCACTTCCCTTGGCCAACTTTCTCTGTCTGAAGAGAGTGGATTCCCCTGGCAGTAACACTGTTGAGGGAAATAAGAACCAGAGCCCGGTGGGACCCTCCAGCTGGGTTCTATTCAATTGAGCCTATTGCCCAGTGCTTGGAAGTGTGCTTCCCAACACAACCTCATCTGTATTCACTGAGCCATTTGGGCCTTTCTCTCAAGTGACTCAGAGAGAGGTGTAATAACTTACTAATATCATACAGCCAATAAATGGTGGACTCACACATGAGTCCTCTGGTTTCAAACCCGAGCTTCTTTCCACCATGTATTACCTTCCCAGGTGTCAGCATTCTTCTTAAGGATGCACCAACCCAGGGTTGCAAATGATAATAGCTGTCATCTGGTTGATACCGTGTCAGGTGTTCTACATACATTAATTCATTTGGCCTTCTTCATGATCTCGTAAGGTAGGTGCTCTCCTCATTCCCATTTTACAAACAGGAAAACTGAGGCCCCAAATGTCAAGATTTAAACCCAAGTGTGCCTGTCCTCAAACCTACAACTATATTTTTTAAGCTCCCTCTTCCTGCTTCATTGAGGCAGATGTGGAATGAAAGTTTTTTCAGAGTTTATTCAAATAGAGGTCTGGAAATGACAAGGAAGAAGACTTATGCCATCAAGGCACCGAAAGAATGCCTCATCTCCATATTTTGGAACCGCTTATCTATTGCTCAGTTACAGCACTCACACAGAATTTATGATGTACTAGGACACACCAATGACCCCTTTATGAACAGCAATGAAACAAATATCCAGCACAGTCCTATGAGGAAGGTAGGGGCCGTTTTTATTATTCCCACCTTACCAATAGGGAAACTGAAGCACTTGCCAACACCACAGAGGTAATAAGATGCACGGCCAAGATTCAGCCCAGGCAGTCCTGTACCTGAGTCTGTGCCTTTGACCTCTACATTGTCTTCACCCCAAGCCCTATATCTATACGCTATATACGACCTGTCGATAAGAGTCATTGAATGACTTTAATTCCGTTTTCTTAACTCTGAATAATGAAGACCAAAGTGCCTACTATTGGCTGGAGTCCTCACTGAAAGGTAAAATGACTGATTCCATCAAACTTAAATCCCAAGCCATGTGTGTGTGAAATTGCTCTATTCACTTTGGTCAGAAATGTGTTTTGAGGACCGACTCTACCTTTTTGAGCTGCAGTAATAAGAGAGAAAATATGAAACTTAATGGGATAAATCACATTAAAGAGCTCAATACCCAGTAGCTATTAACAGCCTTATTACTATCTCTGACCCGGCCACTCTTTCGCAGGCCCCACAGCCCCAGCCACCGTCCGCCACCATCCTGTCCTGTCTCTTGCTGACCTTCTCCACTCAGCACCTTTCCCTCCTCTCCTCAAGTTAATCTATAAAATTCCTGGCCAACAAACCAGTGGTTCCCAGAGGGGTTGCGGCCTGGGGGATGGCAAAAGAGGTGAAGGGAACTAAGAGTTCACCTGTCATGATGAGCACCAGGTGAGGAATGGAATGGTTGAGTCACTGTGTCGTACACTTGAAACTAGTATAACACTGTATGTTAACTTTACTGGAATTAAAATTTAAAAAAAAAAGCGTTCTCTAGGCTTCCTTGCGGGAAGAGTTTCCTTCCTGGTCCTGTTGGACCGAGGCACAGCCTTGGGACATGCTCTGGCCAATGAACCATGAGTGGAAGTGGTGTGGGTCATTCTAGATGGAACTGTTGAAAGCCAGGCTGGCCTTGCCATGCTCCTTCTCCCCCATGCTAACACATCCAGCAATGGTTGAGATGGTTGCTGCTTTGCACCCTGGGTCCTAGAATGGGGACAGTCTCACTGGGACCCCACACAACGCTTTGAAAGACGTGCAAAGTAAGACGCAAGCCTTTATTGTTGGAAGCCGCTGAGGGTTTGGACTTGTGCGGAGCACAGCATAGATCTAGCCTCGTCTGACTGAGACATGTTTTATGATGCTCTTAGAGGACAGGACAAAGTTCCCTAATATGCCTGCAAGGCCTTGCACTATCTTGACCGACCTCAATGTCAAGCTTCATCTTGAACTGAATTTCCTCTCCACTTCACCCCTTCATCTAAAAAGGCCTTACTCCCCTCCCTCAAAGGTGCCAACTCCAGCCTGCTACTGGCTCTTTGTACGTACGTGCTGTCCTCTGCCCAGAACATTCTCCTTCCCGCCTGCTCCCTTTGCCTAGTGAACTTCTATCTATCCTACTAGTCTCAATGGGCTTTCACAGCAATAATATACCCTTTATAATCCTCATCACAACTACATGCTTACCTTGGCTGCTGTGTTTACTTGGATAGTGCTTATTCTGCCCACTGGACTGTATACTTCGTAAGAACAGTTGCTCAGTTTTTACTTATTTTCTATCCCTAGCCCCTGGTATAGTCTCTGGCACATAATGGGTACTCAGTTTTTATTGAATAAGTAATTGAGTTGAGGGGAGCTTGGGTGGCTCAATTGGTTGAGCATCTGACTTCAGCTTGGGTCATGATCTCAGTGTCCTGGGATAGAGTCCCATGTTGGGCTTTGTACTCAACAGGGAGTCTGCATGTCTCCTCTGTCCCTCTCCCACTAGTATGCTCTCTCTCTCAAATAAATAAAATCTAAAAAAAAAAAAATGAGTTGATGTATTATAGTGATTATAGGATGGAAGTTAGAAGAGACTTCTTAGATTTGAATCCTACCCTGCCACTTGGTTTTTGTATGACCTTGGGTACCTTACTGAGTCTCTTTCTGCCTCAGTTTCCTCATCCATAAATGGGGGTAAAAATAGTTCCTACAGAGACTGCTGTGAGGAATACGCGGATGAAGATGCCTGTGCCGTATGTTTACTCCCGGGGTCTGGTCTCCGGGCTCATCTTTCTATACCCTGTGGGGCTGGCAGTTCTCTCGCTGTGTTTTCCATACTCCCTACCCAGATGCCTACGCTTTGATCAAGCCACTGAAAGACACCGCCAGGAGTCTCAGAATAGGAGGGCAGGGAAAGAGGGGGCTTCTTTCCGGTTTCTGCTCCTGTCCACATGGGACAGCACAGAGGATGGATGCACCAACGGCCTCCGGCTCCTTTCAGTGCCCCGCACAGCCACGCCTTCATCTTCTTGGCAATACTGATACAGCTGGTTGAGTTCCCCTCTGCGGTGCCAGCACCCGCCACACCCACCCCTCACCGCCCCACCCCGCCCTCTCAGAGGTCTGTAACCACCCATGTGGGGCCCCCTACCCCCCCACCCCTTCCTGGTGACCCCTCTCCATACACATCCAGGTCTCAGCTGTGTGGAGTTCCTCCCGGGAGCCCCGAGGTTCTGGTAGCCCAAACTTTCCCTTCTGTGTCCCCAGCTCCAGCGCCGGTGGCTATAATCCTACAGGTCCTCATCACGAGGCCACGGCAGAGCCTCCTTTTAGCAAACCTATCGGACCCTCTTCCTGACTTGACTGGGTCCCGGTACAACATCTAAAGCTCTTCGGACAGTATCAGGCACACAGGAAGCAGAGGGGAGTGTTAGGCTCTGCATGTGTTGACGTCGCTGAGAAAACCAGCAGCGCCCACCCGAACCCCATGAAGGGCGCCAAGGGGCTTGGCATTTTTCAAGGATAAATGATGCAAACTCCACGGGGCAGAAAGGCCGATCCATCCCCTTCACTGTCACTCAAATACAACCACCTGGGTGTGATTTGAAGCAAATGATGACACGATTTCCAGAGCATTAGCAATTTTTTATTTTTCCTTTTTTTGTTGCATAGGAAATGCAGTACTTGCTTCCAGTAATTGTATCGTAATGTGAGAAGGTGGTAGCACTAATGGTTGAATACAGAGTTAAACTAATCCACACCAGCTCAAAAAACCTGTGGAGATTTCGTTGAATAAGAATGGACGCCCACAGTGATTCTCAACCAATTACAAATTTTCACAGAACACAGTAAAACTAAAAGGGTAGCTATGAGAGTCAATACAAGTATACGAGAGGCACAGGGGGCCCGGCTCATAGAAACCAATGTCAAACCAAGTTATTAACACGGGGGGGTATTTAGTTTCACAACAGATCTCTTTTCATCTTGGGAAGTGTTCAGTCCCCTCCCCCCACAATTTGAAATGAAAAAACCGGAGGTATCTTGAGCGGACAGACTGCCAAGGGTGGTGGGGAAAGGTCCCCAGGGAACTAACTTTGTTCTGCGTAAGAGGTCAGGGGTGTAGGGAAGGGGAATCATGTATTTGCCTTGAAAAGTCTTTCTTGAAGACCTCCGAGAACCCGATAAAGCTCCAGCTCTAGGTCTAGTATCTCGGGGTGACACCACCTAATGCCTTCACAGTGCAGACAGGCTGGTCTGAGACCAGGAAGAAAAAAAAAAAATGAAGCTGGCAGCTCTCTCAATCCTCCCTCCCCACACAGAGCGTGGGGCCTCATGACCTTCGGGTGAGATGTTAAAAAAAAAAAAATGCTGATTTATATAGACTGTTACTCAAAAAATAAAATAAAATGGAAAATAAGAATAACAGATAGAATCAAAGGCGGGAAGAGCTTCTGTCATTTTGAGAAGTGGAGCAGAACAGCAGGAAAAAGAGACCAATTCATGGGACACTACTTGTCCTTAAAAGCACTGTGGAGATAGAAAAGTTCACATTGTATGACCTGGTGAGTGTTTTCTACCATGAAGTTGTTCTGGTTGGACTCAAGGTGGCACTTCCACCATGTATAGAAATATATATAGAAATATATATATATTCCTGTGGTCCAGACACATTCTGGAAATTAGTTTTTTGTTTTTTTTTTTTTGAATTAAATTGCATAAGGAGCCCACATGTGAAACTCGGGATGCCTGGCACACAGGCGAGGTCCTGCCCCCACACACAGCTGCCTCCCCGCTCTGGTGCGCTCAATGGCAGGTGGTCCCCTATCTTTCTGAGCATTTCCGATACCTACTCCCCATCTCCCTGTTCCCCTCATCTGGTTATGTAACCCTCTGGGGGCATAAAAGGCAGATGAGTGCTGGTATAGGGGGAAAAAACAAAGTGAGATGAAGCTGATTTAATTTGGGAAGCAAGTTGTTTCAAATTTAGACCGAAAAAGAGTATATTTAAAAAATCCCGTGTTAATAGCAAACTCCTTTTTCTTATGAATCGGGCCCAAAGTTTGTACAGAGTTTTATTTTTGAAGAAAATATTGCAACTGTGCATGAAACTAAATAGCCATGTGATTTCTTAAAGATTTTTTTTCATTATTTTTTTCTTTTAATATGAGGAAGTCTGGTGTGAAGACGGATCAAGCATGGGTACCTGGCGGAACATTGTCCATTAAGAAAACGCTTCAGGGTCAGCATAGCATCAGTCGAGGGTTAAGGAAAATGTCCCTCGCTTAGAAATGTCCTCAGAGTGTCCTCGTAGCACAGTTCTTGAAACCCAAACGGTCGTTTTGAGACAAAAGTCTTGCCAGGGACTGATTTCTGAAATCAACCACCCATGCTTGTCCCCTAGGAGAAAGAAAACAAAACAAAACAAAAAAACAAAACGAAAACAAAAACACAAGTAATACTGAATTTAAGTAAATGTATACCTCCAAAATACTGAAAACAGCCGAAATCAAGAAAAGACAGAATTTGCGTTCTCAGTGAAATACCTTTAAACCTAGCTGACAAGAACCAAGTCAGAAAAAAAGACTAACATAACTTTGAGTAATATTCATACAGTTCACTAAGCATTATGGAATAGCATGCATTAATATTGTAGGGTTATTTTACATCACCTATACCAGAAGGTCCTGACTGACAGACAGCGAAGGCTACCGGTGTAGAAAAATCTTACTTCAGAAGAGCAATATAATACAGATTTCACAGGCACTACATTTTAATATATCAGGTATTATGCTGGTTTTCTTATAATTCTTTCTGTCCTAAAGCTGGCATTATAACAATGACCAAAAAGGCAAGGATTGAAGTAAACGGAAAGTAGATACCAAAGTTGATATAGGTTTTTTTTTTTTCTTCAGATAGATTAGTGCATAGTTCTCATGCAGATAAACACTGCTATGCATTTACACTGTTGGAAAGCAGAGTGAATTGAGCCCAAGTTGTCACATTGGTGTAAATCATTTTGTCAGCCTGTAATAGCACCATGTAATGGATTTGCATTAAACATTAAATTGATTTCAGAATTGGTGACACAGTATTCACTACAGTTAAGTGCTATGGAATAGCTTCAATGTTACCTGCTATCTATCAAAGCAATTTTCATCCCACTGCTTTTTTTATTGGAAAAAATAAAAGGAAAACATACATGACACTAATTAGGCAAATGCACAGCCTTGGACTTGGAGAAGGCAGAGCGGGTTTACTGTCAAACAGTAAATACATGCATTGACTTCAGGACGAACTTGGCCTTGGAAGCCGATTTGAATGAAAGCTCTGCCGGTGGGCAGTGCAGCTTTCTGAGACCGTCCTAGGACAGATCTCGGAGGGCGGGTGGTGAGGTGCCACTGAAGCTCTCCTTACATTACCATGCCAGTTGTGTTTGAAATTTGTTCTATGGAGGCCTGCTACCGGGGGAAAAACACTGAAAGAAAGGAAAGAAAGAAAGAAAGATGGGGAGACAGAGAGAGACAGAGAGAGAGACAACCACCACTATGGACAAAAAGATATATCCAGAGACATGACGCAAAGTACATTAAATGACATTCCTAGAAATCCCTCCCCTCCCTCCCAAAAAAATCACAAGGAAAAAAATGTTTTTCTTAATCCGGATTTCGTAAATACTTTTTGACAGAATTCAACATATACGGGGATAAGGGTTTGAAAAAGTAAAAGGCAAACTTCTTTGAGATGGGTTTTGCATATTCCTGTGGGCTGACTGAACACCGTGACTCTGGAAAATTTGGGTTCCCTTACACTTCGACTGTCAGAGAATGAAGACCGCAAGCGTGGGAGGTGTACCTGTTGGCTTGCGGGGGAGGGGCGCCCACACCTGACTGCGTGGTGGGGGTGGGGAGGGGCTGACACCAATAACTGCCATGCCAGGGTGTGAAGAAACTTCTAGAAAAAGTTCGCTCGAACCTCAGAGGAAAGTAACAGGCTCTGGGATGGAGAGAGAGCGGCCTCTGCCCATGAATGATCAGAAAAGGAGCATTTTAGTGGCAGGGGGATGGGTCAGAAAAAAAAAAAGCATGTAGAAAAATGATCAGATTTAGTGTTTGTGCCTCTGACTTCAGTTCCCAAAGAAAAACCACAGAGAGTGAGTTGAGGGACTTCTCTTTGTCAATATTGTTAATGCCATTTGATGGGAGAGAAAAAATTCCAATGTGTCTCAGAATTGAGGGCAGGGCCTTTAATTGGCCAGCCCTCAGCCTGTCAGTCTACACACCCCAGGTAGCAAAGTCTTCCTCAAACATCTTCGCTTGGCTTTCATCTAAAAAGGTAAACACTCGGATTGTTGGTGTTTCTTTTTTCCTGCTTGATCACAACTGAACTACAGTTTCCTGCTGCTTTCTGGACAATGAAACATGAACAAAAATGTAACTTAGTGTATTTAATACTTGACCCCTGTTCGTTATCACCCTAGACTGCTTCCTTAATGTTTTAAAGCCTTTAAAACATTTTTTTTTCCTGCAAATCTGTTCAGAGTTCCCTAATTTTAGCTTCATCAAACTTAATACAACAAAATACCTTCAAAAATACAGCATACCTGTAACGTCCATTTACAATGGTTTTTCAGTAGACCTATACTTCTCAAGCATAGGAATATGCTATACCATTGAGAGAAAAAAAAAATAACTGTATTTAAATACTTACAAAAAAAAAAAAAAGGAAACAGGAAAGTTTTAAACTTAAATCCAGTTCCCAAAAGGGGGAGGGGCGGGAAAGAAAGAAAAGCAATTCTATGAACGCTGCCTTTATAATGGACAATCAGAGATTTCACGAGGCTAATTTGACAGAAATTTTTCCTCATTTAAACAACATTACAAAAGTCCTGCATTATAAAATAGGGTAGAATAAATCAGTGTAATCAATAAAACTATACAACAATACAAATTACATATCTTCTGAGTGGGCAGTTTATTCTCTCTCTTTGCAGTCATGACTACAACATGCTCACTAAAAACAACTAAAACTGCCCAAACTATTGCTTAGTTTGTTTTGTTTTAAAAAAAGGGTGCAATTTTATTGTATATACAACCAATTTACTGGTAATACCTTGGCTTATCGCAAGGTTCTGACAAAATGTTTGTCTAGGCTTTTTTCCCTTCACTGTGAAGCACTGAAAGCTGCTATTTTTTTTTGTGGTTTTTTTTTTTGTTGTTTTTGTTTTTTTTACTTTTTCTTTTTTTTAGTGCACATATGTCATAATAAAGTAATGCCCAGCTAAGTGCTATAGGGGAAGGCAAAGTATGCTGGCTGGCTATAGGAAGTGACACCATATACTGACAATCACACCATACAACAGCGCCAAACGACTACTCAACCACTTATCAGACACATATGAAAATCCAAAATGTTTTATTTTATTTTTTTTTCCTTAAATAGAGATAACCAGTAAACAATTTTCAGAACTTGGAAGTTTAAAAACGTGCATATAAAAATGGGCATTATATACTTTTTATTGAATGTGGATTGACTGCAGTCTGCTAAGAAAAATGGGGTGTGGGAGCTGAAGAAAAAGGAAGTTGTCTTTTTTTTTTTTTTTTTAAGGCTTGCTTGTGAAAGGAACAGTTGTAAAAACAAAATTGCTTGAAGCAGGGTCAGCTTAGTGCTTCACAGTTTGACTGCTTCTCTAAGAGGAGCCCTTCCTGCGCACGTGCATTCAAAAATCACAAAAAAAGTACAAAGACAAACACCTAAAACACACTGCGTCAAGTGCAGCACCGACTTTGGTCAAATAAAAAAAATAAAAGAAAAATTAATAATCGCTAAGCTTTTCTACACGATATAAGCAGGTATTGCATATTTTCATATATCTGGGGGGGGGATAAAGGAAGACTCCAAATAAATTGTAAAATGCAGCAACATCCAAAATACTGATATTCTAAGCCATCTACAGATCTCAGAATAGCACTGCCACTGACCACAGAGGACAATAAAGACTACTCCTATCTGTGGAACAACTAACTCTCTATTTAGTTCTAGATGTTGAAACTGACGATGGCTGACATAAAAGTCACATTTACAAAAAGTGTCTCCAAATGCTTGACTAGGGAAAAACCCCTTTCAATAGAGGAGCATGTGCAACAATTCCACAAATAATCGCTATCCAGGGCAAGGCACATTGATATGGAATTTTTGTTTTCGTGCAAATTAAGGAAAAAAAACAAAACAAAACAACATTGTTTCGGGGGGAAAGATGAGGAGCAAAGTGTCTTCCCAAGAATTTCAGTTACTTGATTGTATAGGACAGTAGTAGAACCCTTCTGAAGGGCTGAAAAACATAGTTTAAAGGCAAGTGCCTAGAGTAGGGATTACAATATTGTGTCTTAATGCACTCTACTTTATCCTACATTAACTATATAAAAATTAGTTACTAACACTAGAACATGCAGAGACTTTCTCTGATCAGCAGGGCTTGCCAACCAGAACGTATATATATGTATAGTATAGGAAACCTTCTTGAAGTTGCATGGGAAGCAAAGGGGTGCTTCGCTGTCTGGTAGAAAAATCACTTGCACTTTTTTTTGTTTTTTTTTTTTTGTTTGTTTTTTGTTTTTGTGTGTGTGTGTGTGTGTGTATTTTTTTTTTTTTTTACATAAGCTACAGGACATTTGGGGGTGCAAACTTTTTTTTTTTTTCCCTAACAGGTACCCTTGATCTGAATGGGCACCCACCAGCATTTGTGTCGGTATTGGTTTATTATTATTATTATTATTTTTTCCCCATAGCCCAGTTCAGGGGCGCAAAGGTCTTGAAAATTTCTGGACAATCTCTGGTACAATGAAGTGTCTGATAACTGATAAATCCTATGTTGCTGGATACATGTAAAAATTTTCAGAATTGGCATAATCCATTATAGTGACTTCTAGCTTATAAAATTAACAGATACCATGATTTCATTTTAGTTATGTGCTTTGATAACAGAAAATAATTAATTAGCATTTAATGTAGTTAACATATCGTGGTAAAAGCACCATTAGATTTGTTTTTTTTGTTTTTTTTTTTTTAAATTTTCCTTCAGTTTTTAAAGGGATACAAGTTTAACAATAAAAAACATAAAAAGCAAAAATAGCTCCCCTTTTTCTTGCAAGGCTGTTTTTTACCCCGATAATTTAGAGTCCCGGGGTGGAAGGACTTGAAAAACAAAAATAGAATTTTCAACAATCTCTATCTTACAAAGATATTTAGCTATCCAATGAAATTGCACTTTACTCATTTCAAAATTCGATTGTTTTGATTGATTCCTGTCAGTTTCTGTCAAAACAGACCATCTTCCCCATTTCCATGTGAATTTGTGTGTCATTGTTGAAATTGTTGAAAAAAATGTTTTTTTTTTTTTTTTTTTTAAAATGTAAGTGCAGCATTTCACAACTTTTAAAAAACTGAATAGTAGTAGTAGTAGTTTGTCATTTCGGAATTGTTCTGCAATGTGAGTGGATCCACTGTCCTTGTGGGCCATGTTATATATTTAACTGCTGACTGCTGAACCAAACCAAACTAAAAGAAAAAATAAAAAAAGGAACATAACTGCATTTTCTTTTTCCAATATGTTACAGAAAAACATTGCCCTTTGACTGTCCCATAAGTTATATATTGCAGATCTCAGCTACTACAAAAGATTTAGTTCTCCATGTGCCTCCTGATGACTCAAGGAGGCTCACACCTGTGTGGGTAAATTCATGAAATACTGTGAAACAGCCAGGCTCCATAAGGAAAGTGTGTTACAACAGGAAGTCAGTGAGCAAGGGTAGACCTCCACTAGCCACATCACCTAATGCTCACGCTACCACGGAAAACACTCCAAATGTTACAAAGCCCAACCATTTCCAGCACCATATGAGAAAATTACAACAGTCCCTAAAGTATTTAAAAAAAAAAATCCCAAAAGGTTATGGCCTTTGCTGTTTGACCATAATGCTTGCTGTTTCCATGTACAAGTTGATTTGATTCTCCCCTTCCACTGACAGTGAAGTTGTAACCGCGCTGGGTTGAGGACGCGTCCATGTTACAGTGTTGAGAAGGGGTCAGGTGGTCTGTCTGGTGGATGGTGGGACGCCGCGACTTTTATCCCAGGTACCAGGACTGGAAGACAAAAGGAAAAGAGCGATTAGGGGTACAATTTGGAAAGTGACATATTTTAGAAGTCGCTCTTCCAACTGTGAAATTGGGATCTATATTAGGAATGAAGTGGGGGAGGGGAGAGGGTTTTCTGGGACTGGAAGAGAGGAGTGATAGACAGTAGTAAATCCTGAGTCACTGAAGCTGATCTTAATCCTCCGAAGTTGAACCTCAGTGTCTTCATTGGGATTTGCCAATATTCAGAGTGTGTCTCAGAAATGAAGTATTTATGTCCACCTGAAATATGCATATGGGTTTCGCAGTCGGGTGGGGCAGCTGCAGGAGGGTGAGAAGCTTGATCATCCTGTCACTGAGTCCTCAGTGGCCAGCACAGTGCCTGGAGTAGAAGGTTCTCCACAAAGAAGTATTGAATGAATGGACAAAGGGTGAGGGAAGAGGCTTCTTGTGCTGATCAATGTCTACTTGGAGGATTTTCACATCTCCTTTTCCATGAGATGGAGGCACTGAAGACAGTGTCGTGACATTCTTTGAATGGGCGCAGATGATCAACATTGATATTAAAATAAGTGGAGGTGAAGTACGAAAAAGTGCTGCACGCAGAGTCCTGGGTGACTTGGGCAAGTCACGGCACCTCTTTGATACCCAGTTTCCTTTATGTGTGCCTGAAGTGGATTTCATGAGGTAAAATGCTCCTTTCAGTTCAATATTTGTAAGATAATTTTTCACAAATGACATAGAAGAATCCAATGGGATTAAGATTTCACCCTATTGGGCTGCCATGATGTCCAAAGGACAAAAATGAGGCCATTGCATAGTCCTTATTCTTGCTTTTTTTCATTCAGTACTTACTGAGAGCATTCCATATGCCTGCTGGGCCCAGTTACGAGTCACCTCTTCCTTTCAAAAATCCTTAGGGACTGGCTTTGGACAACAGTCTGGTGATACATCACTTTATGGGCCAGCACTGCTTTCTCTGTTAGCTAAACAAAGTTACCACTTATGGTCTAATCTCAGAGTCGGTTTCTCAAGTGAAATGGGGAAGTGTTTGGCTTTCACCAACTTTTCCCTAGAGATACCCTGCCAAATTCACCACATTCATCATCATTCACAGAAAAATCGTCAACTTCCAGCAAAAGTAAATGTCTCTGAAATCTCTGAGTTGGCAGTGTCAGAAAGGGGCACCTTCCAGTGGATTCAGTCAGATGAAGGCTCATCGGCGCCCAAGAAATTCAATTAGGTAAAGGACGGCCTCTGATCCCAGGGGTGAATGGCACAATGATAGCTACGTGGATACCTACCAGGTATGAAATTTCCTGGTCACACAAGCTACCTTTGATTTCCAGAGGACTTGAAAAACCCAAGCCTAACCTGAAAAACTACTCATCCTGTGTACTTTTAGATGTTCTTCTTTGACCACATGCTCTGGGGAACACAATAAAGCCTCTTGTGTCCCGAAAGGAAATCATCCTGGCAAAGACACGGCCTAAATCTAACTGGACAAAAGGAAGAAGACGGAAAAGAGAGGAGAGGGGAGGCAAGGCCCGAAATGTATTTCCAGGAGGCCTCTCGTCACAGCTAAGGGATCCAGGCGTGCCTCAGCCCTCAGACACGGTCTCTCACTCACAAAATAGTCTCCAAGTTTGGGTTCAGAGAATAATGCTTACAGGATTTCTGTTCTCACACTTTCTAAGTCAGTTGTGAAATTCCAGCCTTCTTCAATCTGATGCTGCATAGTAGCTCTCGAAGCAAACACCGGGGACCCAGGGAGACGGCAGGGGGAGCAGTTTTCCATACCACAGTTTCTGGACACAACCTCAGCGCACTACAAAAATCTGCAGTGGCTCTGCACTTCTCTTAAAAAGCAAAGCAAAAAAAAAAAAAAAGTTTCTTCACACATCTTACTATTCAGTGTGTGCCTTGCCGACAAGGTTACCCCAGAGCAGCTCTGTAATCCTTCACTGAAATAGGCTTTATTGATTGCTCTGGTCTATTGTTCTCTTTTCAAGTCCCCCAAGTTCAAGTTCATCCTGGTGTTACATCATGTCTGGTTGCTAAGAGCAACCAGACAGACCCAGACGTGACTATCATTAGCAAGAAACCCTCCGCTCTCCTCCCACCAACCTTCCAGTGGCTCTGACGTAGCAGGCCCACTGCAAACACATTGAAGTATTTATTCTGCCTAATTTATGACCTACACAGCAAGCAAGACCCCCACTCCAAAAACCAACACTGTTGTATATTTAATTAATCTGTCTTTCTCTGGCACTTGGGAAAGTTAGACAAAGGACTAATTATTGTGTTTCACTCTCCACACTTTTCTTTGGGGGGGGTGAGTATTTGCATGGGAAAGAAAACTACAAGGCCTAGCATTGCGCACCCCCCCCTTTTCTTTTTGCCCTATTGACATTTCATGAAATACTTTAGCTGCTTAAGGGAATTAGAAAAAAAATGCGATGTGAATGTTACTCCTTCTGAGTTGGTATTCAGTAACACAAATCAACTCATGACATGTTTAAATTTAAATGCTAACCACACACTCTCAGAGTTACTTTAAAGGTTAGTTTTTAATCAATAGAAGTTGCTGACTCCGGGTTTTTGAGCTGCGCACTGCAGCTCTTGGGCTTTTGTCTACCGTTAGAGCTTTCAAACTTTTTTTTTTTCCTTGAGATGATTTTAGCAATGATTTTCAGACACAGAAGGCTATTGTGCTCTGACCAGCAACATGTCAATAGAGAAGCGAGTTGCCCTGTGGTGTGGTGTCAATATGACTCCTGAAGGCATGGGTTGGGGGTCTTTAATAACCCGTGAAAAAAACTTAATTAACCCTTTCAGGCCCAAACCAAAACCTATTCTTAAACTTTTTCACTCCTGTAATTTGACCATTAGTACTTATTTCAACATCACACTAATCTTCATGACAATTAACCCAGCTACTTGACCAAGGCTTTCCCCAGAATGGGAAATCAACTGGTTAGGGGAAACCACACAGGGAATTTGTTTTTTGTTTTTTGCGGTTTTTTGGAGGTGGGGGGGATGTGGTCTCTTTGATGAAATCATTTATTTGCTGAGATGGCAGATAAACAGAATAATAATAATAAAAAAACTCATCCATTTCACTGTATTATCTTCTCACAATCAGTGTGTAGCTGAAGATGCTCCCAATTTCTTTATGATGAATGTGAGAGTTACACATGTAATATGCCACTCGATTTCTAGAAACTTCCATGAACTACTAGTAACAGCAAATGGACAAGACAGTGTTTGGAAAAGCCCACTTGTCTCTTGTGATGTTTTCTTAGAAAATTTATTAAGCAAGCAGTGCTAGTTTTAAAACGTCAATTGAAGAATGACTCCGAACATTTTTTTTTTCCTTGGGTCATACATGAGAAATATAAAAATACTCCTGAGGTTGTTAAATTGTTGGAGTTGAGTAGCAAATCACTGGGAAAATGGTGCCATACTAAACGAAATTCATTTATGGAGTCAAAAAATTGTCTTCAGACATTTACTGACACAAGGTTACATTTCATATGGTTTCTGCCTTCATATTTTATAAACCCCTTAATCTAACCTACTGTATCCAGATGGACTACAAAGGAATCTCTGTCCCTTATCTGCAGAGAGTTCCAATACTACAATACAATATAGGACGATGTTATCTTGATACATTTACATTAAGGAAGTAAACACAGAGCTTTGATCTATTTTTTCCCTCAGAGACTTCCAGCTATCGTTGTTTCGGAGATCCATAAATCCACACTCCCACAGAGGCTCCAGTTCAGTAAAATTACTGTTACATTCACCGTTTCTACAGTTTGGGATGTGCTGGGGGAAGCGGTGAGGGGAGGTGGTAATTGTCCTCTCTCAGTGTTCAAGGTGAAACATCAAAAGAAACCTGCAGACCAGGACCAGAGCTCAGCTTTCCTTTTCTCCAGTCAAATGAAGAAGTAATCTCATCAGGTTGGAAAGTGCTGACTAAGGATTTAATAAAGTGCCTGCAGATGTGGTGTCTCTAAGGTATTCAACTCATGTAATGCAAAACAGCTCCACACTGAATGTGCTTATAAAATTTCATTTAACCATTGCAGCGCGAAATTTTTTTTTGCACCGTTCTCTTAGGAGTTTTATCACACTTCCCGCCCCTTAATTTACAGCTCCATGAAAGTTCGAATCCCCTTCTGCTGGGATTCTGGAATCCTCACAGTAGTCAGGTTTTACGAACCATAAACAATATCCATCCGGCTGCATCCTAAACAGGAAGGCTGGGATGGCAGCAGGCACCTCTGACAGTGCCAGGCTCTTTCCTTTCTTATGCCCCATAGAAAGCAATTAGGAAACTTTTCCAAAATTTGGTCATGAGGTGGGCCCAAGACATGGTCGAAGACGAAGACGGGACTCCTTCGTCAACAACAAATGTTGTACTGTGAATAACAACTTTTTTTTTTAAGGGTCTTTTACATACTCTTCTCCCTAAGAGGGCAGGATGTATATTTGAACAACAAAAGGAAATGCAAGTCTGTTTGAGATAGCTATATTTTACTTTAACCAAAAAAAAAAAAAAAAAAAAAAAAGAGGGTGCAGGGGGTGGGGATGGGGAAGGTGGTACAGACCGAGACGCAGCAGTATCTGTTTTTCAGATTAAAAAGTTAAACAAAAGGCCTAAAGGGCAAAGTTGAACACTGCGGAAGGAGGCTGTTAATGTGGAATCCAGAACTGGGTGTGACGCTTCGCTTTCTTCTCCAGGCAAGGTGGGTTATTTAAGGACATTCGCACAGATGAAACAGAGACATGCACATACTGGGAGGCCTCTGTCCCCACTGCCCCAGCAGGCCCAACTCCTCATCAGCCCGGAAGAGGACGCTACACAGCAGGACTGTGTGAGCTGTGGCCGCCATTTTGACTCTTCTCTTGAGGAGCCGTGTCTCTACTGGGTCGCACTCTTCCTGTTCATTGTTTTTGGATTCCCACTCTTGTTTGGATGAGCTAAAGCCCACTGTTGAGCC